CCAGCTGACTGGCTTGAGAAAGTCACTGCACAGAGGAAAAGTGAATGGACTAATGGCTTCAGAGCAATTAGGCAGAGCAGACAACAGCTAGAAGACCTGTGGATAAAGGGCAAATATAATGACCCATGTTCCAGCTTCGGCTAAAAGTACCTCCAGCTGCTGACCACAAAAAGCTGGGAGTTATGTCAGGGGAGAAGGAAACTCCTAGCAGTGCCATTCTTGTTTCCCCAGCCATTTCTCAGGCTTCCAGCAGTGGCACTGGGACCTGAGCTGCCCCTGTTTCTGCAGAGGAGATGGCTCTGCCACCACTGCAGGGACATTATCCCATTGAACCTGGATGTGCAGGAGTGCTCTGGGAGAAAAGCTTTTCTCTCTCCACAGGTGGGGCCTCCATAGACTTCAGCTTTCTTGTGCCAAGAAAATTACACATTTATTTAACTTTAACATGAGTTTAATGGTAGATGTAGAAGGTGGGGTTTTTTTGTTTGTTTGTTTGGTTTTTTTTGGTTTTTTTTTTTTTTTTTTGGTTCCTGGAGGTACAATCTCCTCCTTCCCTTGAGTGAACAGGTGAGGAAAAGAGGTCACTTGAGGAGCTCAGGTGTGCTCTTTTCTGCACATTAATCATAAACCATTAATCAGAGTCTGTATGTGTGCTCACAAGATGAGAGTTGCCAAAGGGCTGATAATTAACACATTTATCTGAATGCTGAAATTGTACAAAGCCAGTTGAGAAAATGAGTATAAATTTGAACTGCTAGTGAAGATACAGATCTAATTTTTTCCCTGTCTTCCGGAATCTCCAAATCAAGATTGAGTATTTTTTAAGAAAACACACTCCAGATCAACTCATGGCTGAATTTATTTTCTAGCTGTGGCATTACAGCTTCTCAGCTGTAAAAGTGTTTAGATCCTTTTAACCTTATGTTCTGAATTTACAGAAGGGCAGGTTGGACTTAAATTGTCTATATAAACAATCTCTCATATGTTGCCTTCTTCCACATGCACATCTGGTGAGTTCTTCATCATTCCTAATTATGATGCAGGTTGATGGAAAATTACTTCTTTGACAAAATCTGCAGCAAGAAATGGTGTGAATTTAAACAAGAATTGAGAATCCCACTGAGACTTTTATTAGCAGAAAAATCAAAGATCTGCAAAATGTATTTTCTTATTTTTTTTCCTTCAGCATCACTGAATCTTCTGATTCCAGAGCATGCATAGCCCTCTGTCATTACAGACAGACCTGGGCACACATCAGAGACTAAAAGTAACTTTCCAGATCTATCCTCACTAATGCAATGTGTTTATAAAGGGTCCACAAGGAGCAATTGAAAACTCTGTCATATTTTTCTGTATCACTACATGTACCAGTGGTCAGGAAAAATTGCTATTTTCTTGTTTAGCTGACTGCCAAAACTGCGTTTCACATAAAGAAGAAATAGCTAAAATCATTTGGATCCTACTGTAGTCTGTCCAGTCCAATTCAAATTGGCACTATAAGTCTGCATTGAATCAGATCACCAAAACCTCCTCTGGTGTAAACTATTCTCAATGAAAAAGAATCCCACTAATAACAGAGAATCCAGCATAAAATTCTAAAGAAAATATTTCTATAAATAATAAGTCTAGACTTAAAATCCAGATTGGTGTAAACATTGACTGCTGATCTTCTGGTCAAAATGCAAAAATCTGCTCATTAAATACTTGTAGTTTAGGAATCTGTTTTCATGGGGAGAATACTAATTGCCAAACCTAGGACTGGTGTATGCTGTGGGTAGTTCTATCTTTCCCTCACATTCTGTAGCTGACATTCTTTATTCAAACCTGCTGCAGTTCAACAAGATCCTGAAGAACCTGCCTTTGTTCAGAAGAACTGCTCAGAAATGATGAATGAATGATGTGCTTCATGCCTGTCTGAATGGGACTTAATGAACAAACAAATTTCTGTTGTTTATCTACAACTTCTTACCCAAACACATGGAACAGTTAAAGGGAAAAAAAATTAAATACTTCAAGATTTGATAGTCCCTATTCCAGACAGAATCCCTCTGTCTGACAGGGGAGCTGTTTATGTGACTGTGACCTGAACTTTCAAACAGCTGCAACTCTTTGTTTTACAGGAGACCCTGTGCTGTGATTGACCTCCTTGCAGTTGTTTGGGTACAGATGATGGAGCTGGAATCCTGAAATGAGCACAAACACAGGAATGGGTTCTTGCTGCTGAGTCTGCTTCCAAAGCTGTAATGCAGCACCAGGTTCTTCTGCATTGTGGTCTCTGAGCATTACCTGATCCAGCCAGTCTGAAAGCACACAAAGCAGGGAACATCTTGCTGGAGGAGGTAGAAGGAAGGAATCTGTTCTGCACAAGCAAGTCAGGGATTTCTCCTCTCCTGCAATAGCACTCATCTGCTGTTTGCATGTACAGCAGCTTCTACCCATTTCTCTGTACAATTGCACCAGGTCCTCAAGGCATTGCTTTGTAGTTCCAGTGACCTGAGTGGAGGATTTGGGCTGCCTCTACCAGACCTGTCATGTTCTATGCACAAATCAACATCATCCTTTCTGTCATTTACTGAGTCACTTTATTAGGGTTGCAAATTAAGTCAATAACTCTAATCATGCTTTTGGTCATTGTGAATCCTGGTTGGCTAGGAATCGTTGGAGATAAACATCTCATTTCAAATAAGCTACTGAGCAGATGGTAATGACTTTTAATCACAAGCAACACAAGGAAAATCTGAAATAAAGTCCTTGAGATGAACAGTTTGGTACATCATTCCCACCATTTTGAATGCTGAATAACCTTGCCCCACAAAGAGCCATTTGAGATTTATGTACACATACACTTCCAGTAAACTAAAATAATGGCAGTCATTAATTGCTTTTCACAATTTTTATTTTGGTCCCTTATCCAGTGCCCACTGAAGTTAAACCAAACCTCTTCTTTCTAAGCCTTCAAAGACTCCATCTGCTGCAATTACAAAGTGTTGTGTTTTAATTGCGGATGCAGAAGTTTGGGAGACCTACAAGAACTTCCTGCTCAATACTGAAAACAAGAGTGGAGGTAGTTTCTTTAGAAAAACACACAAAAAAACCCCACCAAAAACCCCAAAAACCAAAACAAAAACCAAAAGAGCTCTTAGCCATTTGCTGAAACAGTACTGGGGGTAAGACACTGCCCTCAGCACATAGCCTGTGCCTGCATCAGGTTAATGGCCTCATTTAGACTCTTCTCAGCTTAGGTCAATCCTGAGGAGGCAGCACAGGGAGTTTTTTCACAGGACCTGTCTGCTATTGCATTTTTGGAAAGTTGAGATGAATTAAGGACAACTTTATGCCAAGAGTGGAGCTCTCATTTCTATATAACCTCCCTCTGATCCTCTGTGATGTGTTCAGAGCAGTCTGCTCGCCCAACGATACTGCTGGCCATGACAGTGTGGCAGGTTTGTGTTTCAGTCCTTGTGCTGCAATCTCCCTGCCTGAAAGCTCACTAACAGCATCTCTTAATGGTCATGTTTAAATAGTTTTGCTGGAGCCCACTTACAGAGCAATCTGTGTTCAAGACCTTTTTAGCAGGGAATTGGCGAGAACTGGTTTTCAAACAACGTGATTAAACTATGTCTGCAAGAAAAGCTCCATCACCATTCACAATATGCCTTCCACACAGTGCTTAGATTTTAACTCCATGTAAATCAGTAGTAGATTTTCCTGTTGAATTCTTCCCCCAGTGTGGCTTTGCCATTTTATCTTCCAGAGAAGGACTCTCACACCTCACTTCCATGCCCTGCAAAGACCTGCACCACTCACCAGGGAATCCACCCTCGCAGCTTATGGTACCAGCGAATATTTCCACAGCCACATTACAGCTCTGCAGACGAGATCCAAGCAAATAAGGTGCCTGGATAATAATATGCACAAGAGAAGTGCAGGGGAGGCTGGTTGGCATTGCTGGAGGCAGGAAGCCATTCCCCATCTCATGGACGCAGTGGTGGCAGCTGCAGCTGGAATCTCTGTGCAGCTCTGGGGAAGGCATGGAATGAACCACTGACTCCAGCACAGGCTGAAAACCCACACAGCGACCTTCATCCTGCTCTGCACAGAGACAGCCATTGACTTCAGCAGGAAGATTTGCTTCTCTCAAGCCCTGGAAAGGTCTGGGAACATGCATAGCCCTTAGTCAGACATGTATTTTTTTAGGTGCTTCTTCATGGTTTCATCTGCAGGCTCTTGCAAATGAATAAATTAAATCCATGAATGAAGCATCCAAGCTCTTGGCGCCTTGCTCAAGCATGACTTGTTTAAATGTCTTGGGAGTGTTGTCAGAGAAACGAGTCTGTACAAATCAGACCTGGAGAGGAAAACCCACACACTGTACTTATGAATGGAGGCGAGAGATCCGACAGAAGCCTTCCCAACACTCTACACCTACAGAGGCAGGAAGATTAATGGACAGAGCACCCAGTCAGCAGAATGTCACAGAATCAATTAGGCTGGAAAAGGCCTCTGAGATCATTGAGCCCAACCTATGACAGAACATCACTGTGTCAACCAGACTGTGGCACGGACTGCCACATCCAGCCTTTCTTTGAACGCCTCAGGGACGGCGGCTCCACCACCTCCCTGGGCTGTCCGTTCCAGTCCAGAAATCGCCCTTTCTACAAAGAAATTCTTCCTAATACCCGAACTAAACCTCTCCTGGCGCAGCTTGTGTCGTCTTGTCCTGTCAAAATACAATTCTTTCCATTTGGGCACGGAAGGTAGGGCAACACACTGGTCAGAGAACTTCCCCAGCGATGCCTGCAAATCGCTCTGTGTCTGATGGAGCCGCCTCCAGATAATTTAGGGGCTGGTTTTTGGTTTAGATTTTAGATTGACTGATTTTAGCAACGAATTTAGTTTCGTTTTCACATTAAACATCCGCCGATGCCCTCACCGGCGACTCTACAAGCGACCTTAAAGCTCTCCCTCACGGCTCCTCCCTCGCGTCCCGCCCGCCCGGCTGCGGCTCCCGGCGGCCCCGGCAGCATGGCGGGGGAGGCGGGCGGCGCCGCGTTGGGCCGCGCGGCCGACAAGCTCTTCTCGCTCAGCGGGCTCTTCGCCGTCCGCAAGCCCAAGGGACCCACCTCGGCCGCCGTGCTCAACCTGCTCAAGGAGAGGCTGCTGGCAGGTGAGCGGCGGCGGCCGGGCCGCCACCTCCGGAGAGGTCGGGCCAGGCGTGCCCTGCCCGGCGCGGCTGTGGGATGGGGCCGGGTGTGTGCGGTCCTTGAGGTGAGGGAGCTACAACTCCCGGCAAACCACTTCACCCTCTGCTCAGCGCTCAGAAAACCGGAGAAAGTGGCGTTTATTGTCTCTTTGTGGGTTTTTTGTTTGTTTTGGTAGTAGTTCATAGCCATGGCATGGCCCACCTTGGAGAATAGAGTAATTTCTTAGTACATCCTGCCTCGCTGCGCCAGGGGAGGTTCAGGTTGCACATTAGGAGGATTTTATAAACAGAAAGCGCGATTAGGCATTGGAATGGGTGGCGCAGGGAGGTGGTGGAGTTGTGTCCTTGGAGGCCTTTAAGGAAAGAGTGTCCCAGCCAGACAGTGTTGGTCACACTGCCCGGTGAGCTGTGACACCACATTCGCCACATGCCGCTTGTGGCAGGCACCTTCTGCCGCCCAGGGCACAGCAGGACGGAGCCCTGAGCCTGGATGGGGATGAGATTGCCGCAGCAGGGAGCTCCGGTCCTGCGGACACAGTGCAGGGGATCCCGGGCTGCTTGGAGAGCTGGGACAGGTCCCAGGGACAGCGTGTGCCAGCGGCATCTCTGCAGCACAGCACTGGCAGGATGTTCTGCTGCACTCCCACTGCCTGTTGCCATTAAAAAAGAATATCACCAAAGGAGTGAAAACCATAGTGTTTCAAAAAGTTTGAAAGTCCTGGACAAAGTCTGCAGAAACTGCTCTTTCTGAGCAGTCAGATGTTAACAAAAAAACAAAGTGGGATCATGGCAAAGGTGTGAGCGACTACGGCCTAGATTCTTTTTATAATGGATATAGGGACTTGATCGTCTAGTCTGGGCTTTTGGGCACGTGTTGGTGAAGTGAGAACATACTTTCAGACTAGTGAGTGCTTAGCCTGATTTACTCTGTTGTGAATTGTAATGTAGGCACACACTTTGTATGGAAGAATCAGGTTCCCTGAATGGAGAGATAGCAGATATGGATAAAAGAGCACAGACCATTTGTCATATTTAATACTAATAAATAAGGGGTATTGGACTCTGCAAAATTCCCAGAGCCATCAGCTGTATAGGAAGTTTGCTGGGTTGGGACACTGACTGCTTGAAAGGAACAGTGAATAAGTTCAGTCCACTACAAAGTTGCCATAGGGCTGTGAATATGCAAATAAACGTGTTCCAATATAAGGCAGTAAATATATGAAGAATTGGCTCAGATTATGTAGCATAAAATTTGTGTATAATAGAAGTTTTGGGAACTCTGCTGCTGGTTCTTCCATGCTTTGTTAATGAAACTTCACAGGCTTGCTATCAGTACTTTCTAAAAATCTGTTTGTAATGGTATGTGAGACTTATTAGCATGTAAGTGAAAATACCTTGCAAATACCTTTACAGGAGTAAATCTAAATTAATCATTGGTCTTCAGCAGTACAGTAATTTCTATACTCCGAATAAATAGATTAAATATTTGATTTTTATTTTCTTCAGCAGTCTGGAAATGTGTGCCATTTTTCCTACATTCTGAGGTTATTTTATAATGCTTTCTTTTAATTTCTATTTGCAGAAGCTGGTGTGCAAACAAAAGGGAACAAAAGAAATCAGGTTTTGAAAATTGGACATGGAGGAACTTTGGACAGTGCAGCCACAGGAGTTCTGGGTAATGAAAAACATAATTATAGTCATCAAAATATGATTTCAGGAGACATTTTCGTGCCTGTGTGTAGTCGGGTGGAGGAACAATTTGGGATACACATGGCAGGTTCTGGGGGAAGGACTGATTACTGTGGAGGAATGGTCTGGGTTAAATTTCCTGTGCATACACTTCTACATGCATGTAACATGTTTCTTGACAGAAGGCTGTATTCTTCCTTCCTGCCTTCTCTCCTCTCTTCCAAATCCTCAAATAACTTCTGGGTTTTTACATGTGGGAAAATACAAACTCTTGTGTAATGAATTGTAAAATACCTGAGAAATTGATGGCTTTTTAAACTTAAGCTGGGGATTTATAGTCATCATAATCTGTTGAATTATTTTGTCTCAAAGTAATGCTATTCTGGGATTTTGAGGGAGCTTTTAGGGCTGCTAATACTTACCAAAAAAAAAAGATGTATAAGAACAATTCAGCTGCTGCTTTTCTTGAAGCTCAGCACAGAAAAAGTTTTAAGTATTTGTCCTGTCTTGCTTCATAAAGAAGAGTATTCAAAGGTATTTTGTGTTTTAATTTCGATAGCAATCCATGTTTTGAATTTTTTTTTTGTTTTGTTAAAGAAAATTTGTGTCAATTGCCGGTGTTAAAATCTCAGCTGTGGGTGTGATTGTTCCCACATCATACTTTGTCACCAGCAGTTTTATTGATAAGTAGCATGCAGACTACAGCTTGCTCAGATCATAACCTTGTAGCTCTCCTTGGATGGAGAAATAACAGCAATACATTTTTGCTGTAGAAAATAAACAGGTACAACTGTGAGTATACACTGAAAGTAAATGCTCTGAGTTTTCATGAGTGACTTCTCTCAGGAAGGATTCAGCTTCAACGGGAGGCTGGTTGCTACAAGTGTTGCTAGAGGTCTGTAGCTGGTAATTGTCACTTGTGAACGTGGCAGAATGTGACATTCTTGAGTCAGAATGGAGCACTGCCTGGTTTGGTTTAAATTTCCTGTACTCTGTGGCCACTCACTAGAGAATTCAGTGTGCATTCCTGAAGCAGACATTTTCTTTTTACACAGATGTTTGTTCCCTTTGAGCATGCTGCTTCTCACTGTGCAAAGTCAACAGCATTGATCCATAGGAAAAGCAAAATCACTTGTGCTTTTTTAATTGCTTCTCCAACTGCTCTGATACCCAGCAGTCTCCAAAGCCTGCTTCTGTGGCATGACAAAAAGTATTTGAACTTGATGTGCATGGTGTAGATAGAGAAGCACATCACCTTAATTAGCTGTGGATGGATTGAGAAAAGGCATAGGATCTTTCATTCCACTGCCATACAAAACACACAGGAAACAATCAATGGTAGCTACATTGGAAGGGACAAAACTGGAGAGGAGTGGGAAAGGGAATGTGCCCAGATTTCTTGTGTGTTCAGGTGAGGTAATGAGGAGAGAGGGAAAGATACAAGAGAAGCAAGTTATTCAGAATATGTGTGCTGCTTTTCAGGATGGAGTGGTGGAGCAGAAAGCTTTCCTTCCTCATGGACAGGTGCATGAGAGAAGTATTAAGTTTTTTGAAACCCTTTGTGATCTGTACTGCTGTCTCCCAGGTTTTATGTACTGCCTGTCTGTAACTTTGTTCCTGGAAATTAATTGATACAGGGTCCTGCTTAGTGTGCCAGGTGTACTGCCAATCACTGAGCAGTGCTCTTTATCAGAAAACATACTTTTATATTTCTTCTCTTACTGACAGCAGATGTAGATGAGGAAGGGCCTTGGAGGCAGAGGTCAGTGACCTATGACATGTGAGAGAAAGGCAAGGTCACGTCTTGGTGAATATCTTCTTTTGGTGTTATTCTAGGGCTGTGGTTCCAGCTTGCTGTTTCTTGGTGTTAATGGGAATTTTGTTTGGCTTATTTTTGTATGGCAGTAATAAATTATACTTCCACAATAGAAGAAAACATGAAAAAGTATAAAAAAATTAAAATTCAGTTAAATCTTTCTACATTCAGTGTAGTCTCTCAAGTGAGAGAGTTTTATGTCACTGTTCAATAACACATTCTCCATAAGCAGATGATTAATGGAGAAAATTGTTAGTACCTTGTTCTAAAAGCATTCAGTGTCTCTTTAAAATTATTCCATTGATTCTCTTGACACTCTTCAGCAGATTTCAGCTCAGCTGTCGAAGTTATGTTCAGTTATGTCATCATGTTGCAAGAGAAGTGCTTGGTTATAAAGTCTTATCTGTGTGCTTATCTTCTTTTCTCAGCCTTCTTGCAGCTCTTTCCTATCTGGCAAATAACAGGAACAGGTTGAACTGAAGGTGCATGAAAGCACAAGCACATGTGTGACTGAAAACCCTCAGGAATAAGAGGAGTAGTAATGGAGAACAAGGAGGAATCTAATGGGTCTCAGAGCACAAAAATTGAGAAGCATTAGAACACAAGTAAAAAAATTTTTTTTTCAAAGTTCGTTTTCAGTTTGATATTTTCAGTCCTGGCTCTTGATTAACATGAAGGTGATTTCCTGAAAGCTCCCTTCACTCCTCTAGTTTTCTTAAAATAAAGTATATAAGCTGTTACACATTCCATGAGTTGTGCACAGAACTAATTTCCTTCTAAAATTTTCTTTGGATTGCTGTATGTGGAAAAAATCAATAGGAAAGCATTTTAAAGGCAAGCTTCTTGTAAAAAGCTTTAAAGTAAAAATAAAATAGAGCTCTTTTTCTGTCTCTTCCTTTTATGAAAAGCTGACTGATTGCTGTTTTTTAGAATACTGGTGTTAAGATTGAAATAACAGTAATCTGTACATGCACAGTAAGAGGCAGTTGGACCTTTTGATTATTTTACTTTCTTCCTGCAAGTCTGATAAACAATTCTGTTATGCTGTCTTGGCTGTATTACTCTTGGTCACTGTCAACCTTTAAAAGGACTATTTGGTTACAATGAAGGGTTCATTCATTATTGGTGAGCCATAACCTTCATCAAACCAGAGGTAATGTTAATTGCACTCTCCATTTCTTTGGTGATTAAAAGATAAATAAATGTACCAGTTGGATTAAAGTATTGTAACAGTAGATGAAGGTTATTTATCTTTTGCTTTAGGCTTGTTCCTTTCAGTAGTTCCATGTTGTTTGAACATCAGAGATGCTTTCTCAAAAGTGTTGACTCTCTTCATATGCTAACAGCATGAAAGGCTGAGTTTCTGACTAACAATATTTGGTATTGAATGGTGTTGAAAAAGGGAACTGCAGGGCTGTTTTGAAGTAGCATTTCTTCTTCTCTCTTTGCAGTGGTTGGTATTGGAAAAGGAACAAAAATGCTGGGGTCTATGTTGACAGGTTCCAAGGTAAGGAATGCTAAATGACTTGTAATAGGAGTTTTGTTTGCTAGTTTTCTTTTTTTCTGCCAGTAAAGAGCTGAACCAGCATGCAAATATGTCAGCCATGCTGCATATTTAGTTCAGATGTATACTTCAGCTCCTTTTTGCAGTTAGTCAGAAATGTGTTAGTCAGACTTTCATGTCCAGACTGGTTATTTAAAAAACTTTGTCTCAGTTTTCTAAGAAGTGTTAATAAATACAAAATTACCATTTTACAGGAAGATTTCTATACTATTTAGTGTACTAAAAAAAAGGAAAAACTAATGAAGATGGCACTACTGAAACTGATGTTTTGGGGATGTAGTTGTGGGTGACAGTTCAATTTTTGGTAATTTTCCGTATGTGTAGATAACTTCATTGTTATTTAGCTTGAAGTAACAGATGGTCTTTGTTTCTTTTCTGTCTTCTTAAATACCATGAGGCCTTAAGAGGTACTTTGTGGAATTTAGAGTGTTTTGGATTGCATTACTGTTGCTGTAGAGGGGTGCTCTACAAACCCAACAACAGACACATGTGAGAGGCCAAAGGTAGCAAAAGCCCCGTGGCTGCATGAGAGAATCCAGACCAGAGCCTTGACAGACAGAAATTTTGTTCATTGCTGGTTTTGATTAATTTTATGGTGTTAATTTTACTTTGGTGACCCCCAGACTGTAGGTGTTACATACACAAAAAAGTGCAAGTATGCCCAAGAGTAATGTCCCAGTGTTGATTCCTTCCTCACAAGTCAAACCCTGTGGGTTTAGCCATTATTTTTACATGAGAAGTTTAGATAAGAACGACAGATGTAGAAATCAATTAAACCTTCCAAATTTTATCTTAAATGCGGAAAAAGTCAATAATGCATTATGTTCGCCATTTTTCCCATTCTCTTATCATCTGAACACTTAGGATCTTTTACAGCTGCTGAACTGGTAGCTTAAAGGTAGAATTTGGTTGACAGTCTTCAGTTCAACTCAGAGGAGAAATAATTTGACAAAAGAAGACAGCTCAGGATGAAAGGACATAGCTGTAGAGTCTGATCCAAAACTCAGGGTAGGCAGTGCCAGTCTCTGCACTGCCTGTAATTTGCATTTGGCTTACATGAGTGCATTTCAGAGGCATCTGTGTTTTGAAATGTGCAGTAAACAGCTGGACTTACAGTGGAAATGTAAACAGTTACTACCTGACACCTCCTTTGAAAGAACTTTAAAGTTAAAAGAAGTCATAGATTTACTTCAGCTAAATTAAGTCATGACAGCTAAATGTGTAAACTGTTGATTTAAAAACATGTAAGGCAGTTGAATTAGCTCTTAAGCTGAGGTTCACAGTGGAAACAGCCGTGATGGATAAAGTACTTGCAGCCTTTTTGGTGGAAGAGGGTATGCTCAGGTTCCTTGACAACTTCACTGTGAAGTCCTGTAGCCAAAAACAGGGTTATCCAGCCAGACCTTGTCCCCAGATGGCTCCCAGGGGCTTAGAGCTGCTCCTGAGGGGCAAGGGAGGGGAGAATGCTGTGGGGGCAGCCTGGTGAGCCACCCCAGGCAGATCCATCCCTGGCTGTGGGCTCTGGGCACTTGGCTTCTTCTCAGAGCTCAGCAGCTCTTCCACTGCAGCTGTTCCTTTGTAAGGTACCTGACATCCATGCCAGATATGGAATATGCAGCATTTATTTGGAGCCTTTCCTGTCTTTGCCTTCCTATTTTCTATTTGTACTTCAATAAATTAGGCGTGCAATAATGTGTGAGGCTTAAGGAGGTTGAAGGATCTCTCACAGATGTTTGCCTGTTGGGTTTTTTGACCACACTGACAACTCATAATGTATCAAGAGATACATTCATGACTGAATAGATTTGACTATGTTTTTGCTTTCCACGCCATGTGCTTGGAATTTATACTCTTTAATTTTTTCCACTATTTTGGATGCTAAAGTGTTTGTTGAAATGTGATGTTTTTCTTTTGTTCCTTCTGTTATTACAAAGATTCAGAGGAGCTGTCTGACCCTCTCTGGCCAGGATTTACTGTTTGCTTCTAGGAATGCATCTTGTAAAGAACAGTTCAGTCTATCATTGCTGGCAGCAGAGCTGTGTGGAGTGGCCAAAATGTATGGTACTGCAGTAAACTCCATATGGTGACTCTGCCAGGAATTGGACTGGCTCTTGACTTTTTCCCAAACGTTGTGTGAAACTTTCCTGACTCTGTGTGGCAGTTCTGAGCATTATCCCTTGGTGTGCAACTCACACATGTTCTGCAAAGAATTTTACTCTTGATGTGTAAACTGAGTTCTTCATTGGTTTGACCTCCTCAGGAATTAACTCAAGACAAACAGAAATGTACAGCCAAGGGCAGTACCTGCTTAGTGTTCCAGATTTCTCATCAAATTCTTGGTATTTGTCCAGAAATAAAAACGTACAAACTGGCTTAGCATTTGTTTGTTTGCTTTTTGTTGTTTCAAATGTTCCAAGTAAGAGGGAGAAGGTGAATTCTCTTGGATCTGGAATTTAAATACTGAACATTTAATAAATGTTCCATAGGAGAATGACTTTTTCTTGTTGTTCTGGGACTTGCACTTGGTCTTGTTTGGACTTTTTACACTTCAGGATTTTTAAAGATTTGTTTTTTTTATCATGTTGGCAAAATAGAGTAGAATGGAAAAAAAAAAAATCCTGCTTCACCAGTAAAATTAACATGTTGGGGGTAGACCAATATTTATTATCATAAATTGTTTCTGAACAATTCAGTCTTAGGTATGACTTGTCTGTCTCAAACACAATGCAGAGGTGTGGTTTTTCTGGGGGGGAAATGGTTTAGAAAATGGTAGATCAGTTTCCAATGTGGCAGTCCCATTTAAAACGTCTCATCTATGAGAATGTGCTGTTACATAGAAGCAATGAGGCAAATAATCATGTGCTAATCAGAGGACAAAAAATGAGAAGCACTAAGCAATGAAATTCTTCATTAATCTAGTACTTTCTGTTGGGAGGAGATGTCTCCCAACGCATAGAGCCTTTATGGATAACTGAGACTTTCAGGCTTCAGGCTTCTGTGCTTAATTTGCTTATTTTTCAGTGACATTGCACCTGGGTTCAGCCTGAGAGAATTTTAGTCATACTAGTGTGAATGAACAACTTCACCATCCATCAGACTGTCCTTGCAAGCCCTGCCTCTCCATGAGTGGAGAGCTTGGGGTGCATTGGTTTAATCTGGGGATGCAACTTCTTGTCACGGTCCACATACAAAATACCTCCCCAAGTGCTCAGTGTGAAGGAAGTTCCCTGAGTACTTTGTGGTAGTGGCACAAGCTTGGGCAATGACTGATTTAAACAGAAAATTTAATCTCAAAAGTTGTGGCTTCTCCAGAATGAAGCTATCAAAAAAAGCCTCCCAAACCTCTGGGTAGAGTAAAACCCAAAGTCCAAGTGTTCTCAAAGCCTAGAAAAGGAAAAAGAGATTATGGGCAGAATGAAGATACATCTGTGACCTGATATGTGACAACTTTAGTTTCATATAATAGTTAAAATGTGTGTTCTTATGAATCCTGGATAGAAAATGAGTGCTAGATCAGTGATTAGGTTTTAAATCTTGCCAGTCACATTTGTATGGTGTGAGAGAGGGCTTGTCTGAGCAGGAATTGGTTCAAATCACCTAGCACAACTTCTGAGACATGTAAATTACTTTTTGCAGTGTGATTCTGGGATTAGAGCCCTGTGTATTGCAAAATTTTTTCTCTGGAGGGGTGGCATCAGATGCTGCAGAACAAAGTGTCCATAAACAATGTTATTTCTGTAACTCCTGTGATTACCTTACTGTCCTAAAATCAAGTTTTTACTTATTATCCCTTAACTTCTCATACTTTAAGCTTTCTCCATGAATTCTTTCTTTTTTTTAAATTTTTTTTAATGAAGTCCTTTGCTTGCATCTTTTGGCAGTGAGTTCAATGAATTAACACATTAGAAAGAACATCCAGTGGTTCTACAAGGAGCAAAACTAATGAAGCCTTTGCTTGTGACTTCGTTTGTTTACAGCTCGTTAGACACCAAAGCCCCATGTGGACTTTTTGGTATCCAGTAATTCAGTGGGGCTCCCTCTGGACCCTTCTTAGTAGAAGCTGCAATAGATTTATTTCCTCTATCTGTCTGTTTTCAGGAGGCTTATAAGAACTCGGCATCTCTGAGACCTCTATTCTTCTGCCAACATTTGTGTGTTTGCACATTGACATGCACACCATGGTGGTGTAAGTGCTATTTCTTTTGAAATTCTAATTTTCATTTTAAATAGCCTCACTGTGCTGGTTTGTTGCTTTTTCTTTTTAGTGTATTTCAGTGTTTGTGCTCCAGTTCATTTTTGAGTTGCAAGTGCAAGAAAATTGAGTTGACTTTGCTTTCAAAGGATCCTCTTGGTGGTGTATGCTCTTACTTTTAGTCTTAAAAATTTCTCTAGGGTATCACCAGCTGAGCTCTGTGCTTCATTGTGATTTCTTTTGGAGCTGGTGAAACCAAACCCACTTATTCATACAGTGTATAGGGATGTGTTCTGTTTTCTTTTTCAAATTCTGGTATTTTTAACATTGTCTTGGAAGTGTAGGATTTTTGGGTAGTAGTAATAATTTTATTAGACTAATTGTTGTGGTACAGAAAACTAGGTGTTTGAATATGCAAGCATATCAAGAATATCTCTCTCAGATCTAAAAAGAAGCCATAGATTTTAAAACTAAGCATATTTCAGATTTGTTTAGAGTTTAGTGGAATAGTATGGGAATAAAAAGTAGGTAAGTGTGGGCCAGCAGTTATGTAGGTAATATCCCAAGACTGCTCCACAGAGATAGGCTACATTTTATTATCTGCTTTTATAAAATATATTAAGAAAACAGTTTTATTTCTTGAATTAGGCAGCAAGGATTTGTTTACAATGGATCAGCCAACCTCCCAGGCATAAGGCAAGGAGGACTTACTGCTAGCTTGATGATTGGATTCTTCAGGTCCCACCTTGCT